AATAATTATAAACATTTGTATTCTAGGATAGCTTTGGGGTCATTATACAAAATATGAAATAATATTGGCGAAAAGTCTATCAAGGTACTCGTGACTCACGGTTGAGTTTTATTTTGAGCACAAAAAAAAAAACATCAAAAATGAGTTAAATTTTTTTTTGTATCAAAAATAATTTTTACTTAAAATATTTCAATTTGTTTTACTCCAATCTACTGATTATCTTTGACGATAATAGAAAAAATTGATTTATTTAAAAATAGGTTTTTATGTTGAAAAATAAAAATAAAAAATAAAAATACTCATTATTTACGTTCCATGTTATCGGTTAAAAGGTTATAGCCAAGGCTGCCATATTGTTGGATCAAACGAAACATGCTATAAAATATAAAAGATACTTAAATGGTCAAAATTTACCAGAAAAGTAATTGAGCCCACCGGAATTAAAACTGTGAAAAATGTGGCAGCATCTCAGGTGCATAGATTTTCTTAACTCCAAATTATATCGCTATACATATTTCGACCCGGATCAGTGTGACCAAAAAAATTAAGGAAAAGTCATGAAACGCCATGAAAATTAAACGTGTTGGTCGCTTCTAGGCGATCCATTATTGCGTCCGTGCTAACGCTGTTGAATGCCCCGGATATGTACTCGAACACTCCGAGATCATATTCCTTATTGTGTAGGGCTTTCTCAATGGTGGCTACCAACGAATGTAGTCCTGTCTCCACTGATTAACCCTTCGTGTAGGTATGCTCGTTGGTCCTACATCGTTCCTGATGTATAAGTCCGCAGCTTTTCCAGCTTTTTAAGTAGAAATGAGGTGAGGCTTATCGGACTGTAATCCTTGGGGTTCACATGGCTGCACTTTCCTGCTTTGGGCAGGAAGACAATCCGAGAGGTCCTCCATTGGATAGGTATATGGCCCATGCTTAAGCAAGCTGTATTTATCGCGTAGAGCCATGGTGTGATCACCTCGTTGGTCACCTGCAGCATGGCTGGGAATATTCTATCTAGTCTTGGTGCCTTTATCCTCGCAAAGGAGTCTATAGCCCAGTGGATTCTACTAGAGGATATTAGATCTTTTGGGAGATGCTCTTCTCCAGTTGCTAGGTTCGAAAATAGAAAAAATAATCCAAAAAGTGAGCTATTATTTAAATTAATAATTTAACACTGTCTGGATTGGCAGAAAATGCCCTGCCTGCAATTCCCTAAACTTGCAAAGAAATGGGGTCGTCTTTGCTGTGGCGGTGCTTTAAGTTGCACTGCTTGGGGCGATTTACGTTCTGCGGCAGCTAGTGTTTTCAGCTAAACAAGAGAACCGAAATGACCGGAAGTTCACGTAATGACGAATGTGTACCGAGAGTGTACATAATAAATTAAAAATTACCATAAAAATAAAACAATGTACAGCTTTAGGAAAACGTTTTCAATACTTATGAAAAATCAGTTCTCGATAGAAGTGTGGTGAACGTACAAAAGAAAATGTTTTGAAAACGGTAGCTGTATGCTCTGTGTCTTTTGTCTCTGAAAAAGATCCTAAAGACACCTAAAGTCTACTTTTTGTTCAGATATTTAACTTAGAAAGTCACCTTACAACGCTAGTTGAGTTATTTGCAACTACCTGAATTGAGTGATTTTATTGTTTCTCTTTCGCATTTATTGCTTTGTGGTTTAGTTGAGTGTTTTATTCGTTTTTTTTTTGTCTAGTGCCCGTGTAATTCGTTTTCTGCTGCATTCACTTTTGTATTATTGATTTGGGTTTGGTTTTATATAAATTAATTTTTATCAGTTTTTAAGAAGACACACTGTCTTAAATGCAAAAATTATTCTATTTCTCAACTTTTTGGAGTTATATACAGGAACTCAGCAATTGAATTCCGTTCTTTCTTATGCAATTTAATTTTTTTTGCGGAGCTTCAAATATTACGTCTTTCTCTTTTCGTTCTTTGTACTTCATCATCATGTTTCTATTGATACAGTTGAGGGAAGCACATCTCAAATGAAATCATTAGGCATGAATTTAGTAAACTTTGTGTTCCCAACACATAATTTGCATTATTTGACGATAAATGTATCTCTAATGGGATGGCAATTCTTTCTCTTCGCTCTGCATTAGAATCGTTGAATAATCGATCGAGGTAATCTATCCCCTATCAGCTATCGGTTCCTGCAACGTCATCGCTAAATGATTAGTTTTCTTATAAAAAATTGTTGGCGGTGTGCAGAACCTGCGAAGAATTGACCCAGATTTTGGCAGGACCCTTCAGCTTTGTGTAAATAGCTAGAAGTTCAAAATTCTTGACCCATTGATACACATAAATCGCTTTGTTCCTCGCCTCTTTACCAGGGCTAGGATTTTTAAATTAATCTACATGAATGCAAATTAAATCGAAGCTGCCTGTGCAGCGATTGATTTCTCTTATGGCATATTTACGTTTTTGGAATTTTCGGGTTCCATTAGTCTGTGCACCAGTTCTGCTCTGCAGCCCAGAACTCCTAAGTTCCTCGTTCTCAACAGGTACCGCAACTAATCTGCCTTGAGTGCTGCTATTTTGACTGTTTTCCTTTGTACGCACAACCAAAATCGGTTGCACGAACCATCTTGCACCCACGCGCAACACCGTTTGCCAGGCTGCAAGAGAGATCGGTATTTCACTACTCGATTATTTCACCAACTGTTACTGGCTCTTACACATACCTAATTCATATTATCGCATTTCTGAACTGTGGAGAGAGTGTGGAAGTAATATTTATTTGGTATGAATAAGTAAACAAAACATAGGGAAACTTAAAAGAACTTTTAATCGCGCTCAACCAAAATCTCTGCAATTGTTTCTCTTCTTTGCTTTGCTCTGAGTCAGTATCGTTGAATAGTTAGTTAGTCCTGGAAAACAACCCGCATGTCACACTTTGTTATAATCAATATTACAACGTGGGTGGTAAATGTATCCGATTAGAACTGTCTTCGATGTGAACTTATTTATAATCTCAAGAAATATAAATGTATTCTTATATTATATATATATTATTGCTATAAAATCTAACGAATACTAAAATAATTTGGTTAGCTCAAAAAGTACAAGCGATTTGCTTGAAGCGAACTTTATACACGTCAAGGTTTCCCTCGGTCGCACAGTAGCGCCTCTCGAACAAATAGCGTTGCAAAAGTAAGAAAAGTATGTTCAAGGATTTTTTGGATTTTTTGTAAAAGATATGATTCAAAGATTCAAAGTTAAACATTGTCATCGACTTTCAGATAATATGACACAAAAACCATAAAACTAATGGTCAAGATATGTATATTCATAAACTGTTAACGAAACTAAAAAAACGGCAGTTTTGTTTGGGCTCGTACAGGTAAATCGCTACCTGCCATGTGTTCGACTACACTGTGCTTATAAGTTGCGTTGACCTTTTCACGATTATAGTCCAGAAATCCTTAGGTTATTAAAAAACTCCCAAATATATTTCCCAAATAATTCCCAAATGATCCCAAAATAAAACAGAAAAGCCAAATTAAAAAAAAAGTTTTTTTTGTGTTCAAAATTGTTGTATTTGATCAAGTCAAACAAAAATAAAACTAAACAAGAAAGGAAGCTAACTTTGGCACATCGAAGTTTGTATACCCTTGCAGATTGGTTTTGATATTTATATTATACATTTTAATGCTGAAAACACACAAAACAGAGTTTCATTACATTTTAATTTTTTTTCTAAAAATTTATCGAACATTTGTATGCAGCGATATGATATAGTCGTCCGATCCGGCCCGTTCCGACATATTATATATGGCAGTGAGAGTATATAGAAGACTATATGCAAAGTTTCATTTAGATAGCTTTAAAACTGAGGGACTAGTTTGCGTAGAAACGGACAGACAGATGAACGGACGGACGGACGGCGCAGCCAGATCCTCTTTTGGTCCGCTAAATGCCCCCACGGGCATCTCCTACGCTGAAGCTCTACTCAGTAAACGCTCAACAGGCCCAGGGCAGCCACAAAACAACTTGGCATCTATGATGGTGACAATGCAACAAAGTATGATGGAACTCATGTCATTTATGAAAACGCCCATGCAAACGCTTGTCCAGAATCAGAATATGGTGATACAGTTGCTTGTAGCACAACAGTCGAAATAATCAATGTATAATCTACGTATATCCACGTGGAATGCAAACGGCGTCTCACGGCATAAACTTGAACTAACACAATTTTTAAATTAAAACCACATCGACGCCATGCCACATTTTCACCAAAGGTTTGCAACAAATTACTTGCAAGCTACGTCCATAAAAGTGCAGCCAGGGAACGGCAACCTTTGCATTGCTGTTGTCGTCTACTGCCCACCTCGCTTTACAATCTCTGAAGGTCATTTCATGGATTTTTACAACTCTCTTGGAGATCGTTTCATAGCTGCAGGAGATTACAACGCCAAGCATACGCATTGGGGATCCCGCGTCGTGACTCCCTAAGGAAATTATTCTTCCCTTTATTATTTTGCCGACACTCTATTATTTATTAATAACTACTTAACTGGGGCCTTCTAAGAAAAAACACTTAATGCCAATATTTTCCGTATGTATGGTCTGCTATATAGCTTTCTTTTACCCTTACAATTCTTTTCAATTCAAAATCCTTTAATAATTAATATGCAAATTAAAAATTTTGCGAATATGGCTTTTTTCGATTTTTGCAAAACTAATTGTTCGAGAGTTTTTTAAACGGTTATGATTTTGGCTTATTGTTGACATGTGGTACTGCTGGGTAGATTTAAAACAATAAATAAACTGAAAAATAGAAAAGTTGTTTTAAAGGAAGTACTTATTGATATAAAAAAATATATATTGACATAATCTTAGACCTACCACTTTATTTTGACTTATTCTTTTCTCGCAAAACCTTTGGAAGAAACATAAGTTCGACTTAGAAAAAGTCCTAAAAGTATGCACATAAACCTTAAAATAAATCCTTTATTTTATTTCTTTTCTTTTCTTTTCAGTAAGTTGAAAAGTTGCAAAAAAATATGCGTAGGATTCCTACGCTTTGTAGACTGCTGGTGAGTAAGCTTGGTGACAAATACGACATCATAAGTCAATTTTCTCTTAATCAAACATATACATTTTTTAAACAGATGCTCGGGATGATGTTCTATGCATCAGCAGTCATCGGACACATTCGCATTGATGCGCCAGAGATTCATGTGTCCCCAAGTTACAAACCGGCCTTCGTTCGCTCTGCAGTAGAAAGTATCCCTTTAGAAGATGATGGGGAAGCCTTAAGTCGGTTTCATCCCACATTCGGCGATACATTCTTGCCGCTCCGCTCAGCCGTAGAAAGTGTTCCCACGCTAAATGAAAGGACTGTTGCTCAGTTAAGGATAGCTTCAAGTCGACGTTCATTTATACGCGATTCTGTAGAAGCAGTGCCAAATGTCGGTGATAACGAAAACGTCGAAAGCCATGTCAGAGATGCTGATGTTGGTACTGAAATTAAGCCCGAGAAGCTGGTAGAACCGGATCCATGGTCAGTTTCCGATAAATATGCCGCTTTTATTGCTGCCGGAGCATCAGATGAATATCATCCACAGCCTTACCGGATTGGCTCTCCATATCAACAGCTTTTAAAAGCAATGGATATTGAACAGCTAGAGCACATCGATGAACTAGACCGCTATAAGGAACAACAGACCTATGGCGCGCTGGCACAATTGGGAATGGAAACCTCCGAAGCTGCATATGGAGCTCTGGCGCAGATAAAGAAACAAAAAATTGACGTTGCCCCCAAGGTTCTTTGCTACATGTCTAACTGGGCATTCTACCGAAAGGGTGATGGTCATTTTGTACCGGAACATATCGACCCGATGCTTTGCTCGGCCATCATCTACTCGTTCGCTTCTCTGGACCCCGATTATCTTACCATTCGCGATTTTGATCCCTGGGTGGATTTGGAAAACCAATACTATCGCCGAGTGATTTCTTTGGGAGTACCCGTCCTGATTGCATTGGGAGGTTGGACGGACTCTAGTGGTGACAAGTACTCTCGTCTGGTCGGTGATGAAATCAAGCGCCGTGTGTTCGCTTCCAGCGCGGTTGGCTTCCTACAGCGTCACGGATTTAGCGGTCTGCACATGGACTGGAATTACCCAAAATGCTGGCAGAGCGACTGTTCCAAGGGACCTGCCAGCGACAAGCCTAACCTAACCAAGTTAATTCGTGATTTGCGAAATGAGTTTCAGCGAGTTAATCCAAAACTTCAGTTGGGAATAGCTATATCCGGCTATAAAGAGATTATAACGGAGGCCTATGAACTTAAGGCCCTTTCGGAAATAGTAGATTACATGACAGTGATGACCTACGACTATCATGGAGCATGGGAGCGACAGACAGGGCACGTTAGTCCGCTTTACGGACAATCGTCAGAAAAATATCCGCAGTACAACACAGACTACACAATGCAGCTGCTGATAAAAATGGGTGCTGTGCGAGAAAAGCTTGTATTGAGCATACCATTTTATGGTCAAAGCTTCACACTAGAACAAAGTCGACAAAAACTGGTCGGAGAAGGGGTTCCAGCCACAGGGCCCGGAGAAGCCGGGGAGTCGACAAAGCAGCCGGGAATGCTTTCATATTATGAAGTTTGCCACCGTGTCAGTACATTAAAGTGGCTAAGTGGTCGGGATGTCAACAGAAGATCCGGTCCGTATGCTATGCTAAATGATCAGTGGGTAGGTTATGAGGACCCATCTAGTGTGGAGGCCAAGGCTCGCTATGCTGTCAAAAACCATTTTGCCGGAGTAGCTGCGTGGACCATTGACCTAGATGACTTTCGTAACCACTGCTGTACTGAGTCCTACCCACTGTTAAAGGCCATAAATCGGGGGCTTGGACGATTACATTCAGAGTCAGAGCCCACACGAAAGGACTGTACACGTCCACCTCCAGTGAGCACCCCATTGCCACCACAAATGACCACCATTAGCAGCGATGGCTCTGTGGGATCGGGGCAAAACCATGAGCATACAACATTCAGGCCAAACTGGGAGGCCAGCCCGCCAATTCTCACTACAAAAAAACCGACGCCCTTTACAAGTACAACCAAAAGAGTAACGAGCACCAACTGGTGGAGCTCTACAATGACAAGTAGACCAAGCAAACCAACAAGGACCACCTCAAAACCGGCACATACTACGATACCCGCGCAAGCCACCTTTCCGGTGGTACAAGCCTCCAACTGCGAGCCCGGGGAGTTTTACCCAGATTTAAAGGATTGCAGCGTCTACTATCAATGCATTATTAAAGGAGAGATGCGCCAGCAATTTTGCCCCGGAGGCCTGCACTGGAACAATGATGCTAAGGGCTGCGACTGGCCTTCGTCCACTAAATGCCTATCGATTCAAAATCAGGAAACAAGTACAGTTCACCCTAATAAAACTTCCAAAAAACCCAACAAGCCTTCAAAGCCTAATAAGAAGCCAACAAGGCCTACGCCGCAAGTACAGGTTACAGGTAATGTCCAGACTAAGCCGCCGAACCGTACGACACGCCGGCCTCGGCCTTCACCATCGGCAAGGTGCAATGAAGGCGAATACTATACCCACAGGAACTGCGCGAAGTACTATATATGCGTCAATGGAGTCTTAGCGCCAAACGAGTGCGGTGGAGATTTGCACTGGGATGCTATCCGTAAGACCTGTGACTGGCCCAAAAATGTACAGTGCGTGACAAGTAAGAGATACTTAAGAATTATTCAGGACACTAGATCTAGCGAGGAGGACCCATGCAACGGAGAGGAGCGTGTCCCTTATCCTGGTGACTGCTCCAAGTATCTATTCTGTTTGTGGAACCGTCTACAGGCGGGAGATTGTCCACCGGGCCTGCACTACAACACAGAAATCGGGAACTGCGACTGGCCGGCAGCCGCCAAGTGCAGTCAGGATTCCATTGGCAGTGTGGGAGGAGGAGTAAACATGATGCCTCCAGCACTAGCAAAGCCAGCTCCTACTACCCAGAAACCGACCACCACTCCACGTCCCACGTACCCCACCGACAAACCAGTGCTAGAGCCGCTAGATGGTTACTATAAGGTAGTATGCTACTTTACCAACTGGGCCTGGTATCGCAAGGGCTTAGGTCGCTATACGCCAGATGACATTAACACAGATCTATGTACGCACGTGGTGTACGGGTTCGCGGTATTAGACTACTCCGAACTAATTCTGCGTACTCATGATTCGTGGGCGGACATTGACAATAACTTTTATACAAGAGTGACCGGGCTGAAGAGAAAGGGTATCAAGGTGAGCCTGGCACTCGGCGGCTGGAATGATTCCCAGGGCGACAAGTACAGCCGGCTAGTGCGGAGTCCGATGGCACGGGCTCGATTTATCAATCATGCTCTAGAATTTATCAACAAATATGGCTTCGAGGGACTAGACCTAGACTGGGAATACCCGGTATGCTGGCAAACAGAATGTAATAAAGGATTTGCAGAGGAAAAGGAGGGATTCACCGCATGGGTTCGAGAGCTCTCCCTAGCATTCCGCCCGCGTGGACTTTTGTTATCCACGGCGGTTTCGCCTAGCAAGAAGATTATTGATGCTGGATACAACGTCCCAGAACTGGCTCGTTATTTTGATTGGATTGCAGTAATGACATATGATTTTCATGGGCAATGGGATAAGAAAACTGGTCATGTGGCACCCCTTTATTATCATCCTGACGATGACTTTGATTACTTTAATGCGGTAGGTATTTTATTGGATTTCTGAATACTTTATGTTTCAATGTAAATATATTATATGATACCCTACAGAACTTCTCCTTAAACTATTGGATCGAAAAAGGAGCCCCCTCAAGAAAAATTGTTATGGGTATGCCTCTTTACGGGCAATCATTTACTTTAGAGAATGCCAGCAACAATGGACTAAATGCCAAAGCTCCAGGACCCGGTCAGGCTGGCGAATTTACTAAAGCTGCCGGATTTCTTGCTTACTATGAGGTAATTAGCATATAAGATAATTCGGTATAATAGGAAGTGTCAAAGATCTGTAATACATAGGTTGCGTTCAGCTGAACATGACGGTGACTACTGATGGATTTTTATCGATAGTTCTGCAGAACGCGTACGATCGGTGATCATTATGCAAGATTTCATGCATCATTAAGATTCAGCCTTTAAGCTTGCATATCTTGCCTTATGTTTTGTTGTTGACCAATTTCCTTAAAATAGTTTTTTTATCGCGTAGCTTGATCTATGCACACGTAAAAGTTTTTACACATAAATTGTTTTCTTTTTAAATTTAATTCTCTTCAATTTTAATATTCTTTTATTATCAAATCCAAAAAATTAGTTTTGTCATCGATAAAACCATTCAGCTAAAAATTGAAATTATAGAGCCAATTTCCAAATTGTTTTGTTATTATTTTATTTTCGAATAGAAGACCTTAATGTTTTTTTTTTTTTGTTTATTGAAATTTAATGACAGCTAACTGTTTTTGATAATATTAATGTCAGATCTTGGTAAAATCCATGGTAAAACAAATAGACCAATTTTTTGGCAGCCTTCCGTAGTGCCATTCATTCAATGTTTGGAATGTTTTGTTTATGCTGCTTATAGCAGGATCGGTTAATTTATATGGAACCCTAGAAAAATCAGAAAAAAAAATATTTTGTTTCCTTAAACTGTTTTATATCTCTTCTGTAATGTTTTTTTTTTTCATATAAAAGAATTCGATTCTCAAAAACTTAATTTAAAAACTGCAAGGGTATGCAAACTTCGGCGTCCCGAAGATGTATACGATGTTTTATATTTAAATTTGGACGCGCAAAATGGAGATTTAATACTCTATCAATTTAACACATATACAGATCTGCGATCGCATTAATCATCAAGGCTGGGAAGTAGTACAAGATGAACATGGTCGAATGGGTCCGTACGCGCGGAAGGGAACACAGTGGGTATCCTTTGATGACCCAACCATGATCCGGAAAAAATCGCAACTCGTTAGAGCTTTGAACCTGGGCGGTGGAATGGTATGGGCTCTAGATCTCGACGACTTCCGCAATCGGTGCGGTGATGGTGTGCATCCCTTGCTACGAGAGATCCACGATGTACTTAAGGAACCACCAAGTGGTTACGAACCAACCCGTGAGTTCAGCCTTTTAAATTATTTCGCATTTCTCTAACTCGTTTTAAATCTCATCTCACCTCAATAGCTGGTACAGCTTCTTCTGTTGATCAGGAGTCTGTGGAGGAACAAGCCATTTCGGAAGAAGTTGGAAATGCATCAATTGAGATCGAAACGGAGGGCCAACTTGAGGAAACTCAAGAAGAGGTGGAAATGGCTGAAGAAATCATTAATGGGGGCGAAGAAGGCAACGTTGAGGAAGCTAATTTTGAAATGGAAGCCGCCGAAATCCCGACCACTGATACTGGTGGATCGACACGCTTTAAAGTAGTCTGCTACTTTACCAACTGGGCTTGGTACCGCCAGGGGGGCGGTAAGTTCGTACCTGAAGATATCGACCCAGATCTGTGCACCCACATAATTTACGGCTTTGCTGTTCTAAGCAGGGACAAGCTTACCATTCAACCACATGACTCTTGGGCCGATCTGGACAACAAATTCTACGAGAGGGTCGTGGCCTATCGAAAAAGGGGAGTAAAAGTCACTGTGGCTATCGGTGGGTGGAATGACTCTGCTGGCGATAAATATGCCCGACTGGTGAGAAACGCGCAGGCCCGAGAGCGGTTTATTCGACATGTCATCGACTTCATTGAAAAATATGGTTTCGACGGACTCGACCTTGATTGGGAGTACCCGGTTTGCTGGCAGGTAGATTGTAAAAAGGGAACAGACGATGAGAAACAAGGATTTACCGCACTAGTTAGGGAACTGTCCCAGGCTTTCAGGCCCAAGAACCTCCTACTATCCGCAGCAGTTTCACCTAACAAAAAGGTAATCGACGCCGGATACGATGTGGCTGAGCTATCGAAGTACTTCGACTGGATTGCCATAATGACCTACGACTACCACGGGCAATGGGACAAGCAGACGGGTCACGTAGCCCCCATGTACGAGCACCCCGACGGAACGGCCACGTTTAACGCAAACTTCTCCGTAAACTACTGGATATCGAATGGAGCCGACCGGCATAAGCTCGTCATGGGAATGCCTATGTATGGACAGTCCTTTTCTCTAGCACAGGCCAATGAACACAGTCTAAATGCTCCCACCTATGGTGGTGGCGAGGCTGGAGAGGCGACCAGGGCTAGAGGTTTTCTAGCGTATTATGAGATTTGCTTATATATCCGCCAGAGAGGGTGGAATGTTGTACGAGACGCTAGAGGCCGGATTGGCCCATACGCCTATTCGCGAGATCAGTGGGTCTCCTTTGATGATGCACCAATGATTCGACACAAAAGCGAGTACGTGAAGGCAATGGGTCTGGGAGGGGCTATGATATGGGCATTGGATCTAGATGACTTCAAGAACAACTGCGGCTGCGAATCGTACCCTTTGTTAAAAACTATTAACCGTGTACTGCGCGGATATATGGGCCCGCATCCGAAGTGTGTGCTTGAAAAGAGCGAATCGACAATGAGTAAGTAATTGCTATGAATAATCATCATCACTATATGTTATGAAAACCCATAAATCCCGCAGTTGGCAGCGATAGGATATCCTCGAAACCTACTTTAGCCACTGGTACAGACGTTGTTCCTTTTGCACAACCAGAAACTTGGACCAAACCCAATCCTGACCAACCGAACTCTGACTTGGATTGTGACGGAAAAAACTATATCGCCCATGAAACAGACTGCAATAAATACTATATCTGCCAATATGGAGAATTAGTGGAGCACCGGTATGTAATAATTGAGATGATATTTGCTTGCAGCAAAAATCAATCATGTGGTAGGTGAATGTTTCATGTGGAAAAGTTGGTTTTTATTAAAAACCTTCCGCTATGTTAGCCCTTAAAAAATTCGTTAAATTTAAATAACAGTTTTTGTTTTTATGCTAAAATACTGGTTTTCGATAAAAATAGTTTGGTTTTATTTTATCGTACAAAGAGTTCGTCAATTCTATATTCACGTTACAAGACCTTAAAGCGAAGTCGGATAACTGCAAGAAATATCTGAATTTCGAATGTGCCGCTGTCGTGCCCAATGGGTGACTCAATTATCGACCCCTCAAAACCGCCTTCTTGAAACCTCCCAAAGTAGGGTTGTTGGTTTTTTTTAAAAAGATCGTATTGATGATATTTGATGTTAAAAAAATATCACTCGATATTTAAAAATATCGTAAAATATCGATATATCGATTTTTATTGATATTTTTTAATGTTTAACGATTATATAACGATAACGATTTCCTGTTTCTGAAAATTTGGGTAAATTTTGAGCCTAAAAATCGTTATATTTGATTTCATAAACAATTAACAGCAAATAAGATCTATTTGAGACATAATAGACTGTTTTTAATTTATAAAGTGAATAGAAATCATCGAACTTAAAAAAAACAAATATTATACCCGCTCTCAAGCAACTCTTATTTACGATCCTTGGTATAGAAAAATAATAACATTATGAAGGATATGGTATAGACCATTGAGTGGTTTTATTTAATACAAATATGTTTTTAATGATTTTAGAAAAACTCGTTCGGTTACATGCTGGTCTATCATACGACTACGGGAGTCACAAACAACGCACTTTATGGCAGAAGCAAACCGTTTAGATGAAACCGAACTACCAGGCGTGATCAGGCAACTTAATGCCACCTTCGCTAGCATGAGCATAGTTGACATTTGTGAGATCCAGAATTCCATAGGATTTGTTTCGCAACTACAAAATGGCATACTAAAGAAAAGCTGCTTTCTTTCTTTCAAAACTCTTGATAACAGAGTCTCAAAGTTCTATAGTTCTGTTGTACAGATCTAGAAAACTTTCCTGTATGCTTAAAGCGACCATGTCCTCTTCTCCGCAATCCATTTCTCGTTCAGACGAAGGCAGTGTTTATGTTTGTTGATTTTCAACCATCTGCTTAATAATTTCATCGGTGACATTTTTTACGTGAAGAGGCATACGTTTTTTTGAAACGAAGATCAAGCATAGTAGCTTTCATCAGTATGTTATTCAGCAAATCTTAAACTCAACCTCTTTTCTGATACTTTTAGCAGTAACCATATTAGAAAAACCGAACTCATTTTAAGCACATCCGTCTTTTTCACTTTCTGGCTTAAGATTGACCAAACATAAAATATCGGAAATATCATCTCAAACAAATATCATTATCGCCTATTTTTGATATTTTTTAAGAGAAAAAATATCGATTTATTGATATTTTTATATTTCCAACATTCCTACTATAAAGGATTATTAAAAGTAGTCAGCACCTTTGTAGATAAGTAATATTTCAATGTAAAACAAGAAAACTAACGCTCACCCTTTACTTTACTTCATTCTTTGTTTTTTAAAATGATTATTTTCAGGTGCCCTTCAGGTCTGCATTGGAACAAGAACAACTGCGACTGGCCAAATAAATCTAACTGCACAGTACTGGCGGATCAATTTACCCAAACGCTATTAGAACAACGCCCGAAGCCCACCAACGACGGCTCAAATCCCAGTTCAACTAATAAACCACTGAGCCCGTCTAACAAGAATCCCACTACAGGTCCAAAGCCAACAGTAGCTTCTTTGTCGCAAAGTAGTGTCGTAGCCCCCAAAGTTATTTGCTACTTTACCAACTGGGCATGGTACCGATCAGGCCAGGGAAAGTACGTACCCGAGGACATCGACTCCAACTTATGTACCCATATTATTTATGGATTCGCAGTACTCGACAGTCACTCATTGACAATTAAGACGCACGATTCATGGGCTGACATCGATAATCAGTTTTACAAGCGGGTGGTGGAGTACAAGAAAAAAGGCCTTCGCGTGACTGTGGCTATCGGCGGATGGAACGACTCTCTAGGCAGCAAGTATGCGCGCCTTGTTCTTGATCCCCAAGCCCGATTACGCTTTATTACAAGCGTCCTACGCTTTTTAGAAAAGTTTGGCTTTGAGGGCCTAGACTTGGACTGGGAGTATCCAGTGTGCTGGCAGGTTGACTGTTCCAAGGGCGCTCAATTGGAAAAAAAGGGATTCGTAGATTTAGTAAAAGAATTGTACATGGCCTTCGAGCCAAAGGGCCTATTACTTTCAGCGGCGGTTTCCCCTAGTAAGACGGTAGTTGATGCTGGCTACGATGTACCGACATTATCGCGGTATTTTGACTGGATTTCCGTGATGACGTATGACTTTCATGGACACTGGGATAAGAAGACTGGGCACGTAGCCCCGCTATATTATATGGATGGCGACGAAAATCCATACTTTAATGGAAACTTCAGTATCCACTATTGGCTTGACCAGGGCACTTCTGCAAGCAAGCTAATTATGGGCATGCCCCTGTACGGCCAGACTTTCTCGCTAGCTGACCAGAAAAACAGAGCTTTAAATGACAAATCTATAGGGCCTGGGCAAGCCGGCACATATACCCGCGCAAGTGGATTCCTTGCGTACTATGAGATTTGCGAAAAAATTGGAAATGGAGGATGGACCGTGGTAAGAGACGAAGATGGTCGCATCGGACCATATACCTACAGAGGAAACCAATGGGTCTCCTATGACGACGTCGAGGACATTCGGCGAAAGGCGCAGTTTGTGAGGCGTCTGAAGCTGGGCGGTGGTATGATATGGGCACTTGATCTAGACGACTTCCGCGGTCACTGTGGTTGTGGAAAATATCCATTGTTACGAACACTTAACCAGGAGCTGCGTGGCATTCCAGGGCAAAGGGCCAACGACTGCACTTAATAAACTATATATTAATTAAGGTCGCCATTAATTCTCACGTCTTAAGCCTGCTAGTTTTATACATAAGCTTGCACTTATACTCCGATTAAACATATATTTAATATAAAAATTTGACTTTTAAAGTAATAACATTTACATTTAGATATGGTAGGTGGGTATAAGTGGTGAGGCTCTTGCTAGATGGTCCAGTTAGAACTGGCCCTCATTTTAATTTTGATTCGCAATATGCTGTGGTAATCGTATCCCCTCAGTACCAACTTGAGCTGATACAAAATTTTAGAATTGCCGATATATTTAGCTTTCTTACATTTTTTAGTGAATCCAGATGTTAGGCACTGAAATTACGTAACCGTTCAGCTGGAGAGAAGCAGAGCGGATCCTCTGGTTTACCGCTCCGTTGTTGCTTTGCAACTTCTGCAGCTGCGCTATAGAAAACCCTCACGTTACGATCGCTTAATTATCTTTAGTGACGGCTGCGACCTGCTGATATCCCGTTTTCTGTTGGATATTTGCTCTTTAGTTCGATTCGTGTCGAAATTCGGCCAAAATCTGTGATTTCGTGTGTTCGCTTCCTGTATTTCATCATTTCTCGGGTCCCAAAGAATTTATATCGTGTTGTATTCAGCAAGATTTTTTAGGGACTTCTTGCATTCTGATTGATTGATTGATTTTCATGGCTGCCAAAGATTTAATTTCCCCCCTTTGATGGCCAGCTCTCAGCGAAGATTCCAGCCGCCACTAGTCTTTTCTTGTGTATTCATTACCGAAGCTTATGTACGCGGTAATCCAGGCTATTTTTACGTTTTTAAATACATTCTGCTATTAAGTAGCTGGCCGTTCCTTGTGCGCTGCTCCTTCTATTATTTTCTTGCTTTCAGTATTAGTCTCAGCTTGGCATTCATTCACTGACAAATAATTGCTAAACTCAGGAAAATGTACCTAATTTGTAATTTTTTCCTATGTCGGAGATTTTATGCACCAACTACTATGTTGCTATAAAAGTATTACAGTAAATGCTTACACTTAAACTTAATGCTGTAGCAGGCCAGTTGATGTTATTATGATCTGGTCACACGATTGTTGGGCTACGCTCTCTGAGAGAGCAGGTTACTCTCTCTCTCAGAGAGCGCTGCTTATGAATTTCGGGGGTTGAAAGGCACGCGGCCTGAGAGTGAGAGATCACTGTTTTTGGAGAAGTTGAAAAGAGAAGACGTAGATCGTGAACAAAAAGCAAGAAAGAGAACTGTAAAATAATATAAGAAACATTTAATACGAAATTATAAGCATAAATAAAAGAAACTAATAAATAATAACATACGGCCACAATCTCAGAAGTGGGATCGAGGAAAAAATTTTTTTGTGCACGCCAACTAAAAATAACTATAATGGATTTGGACATTAATGAAGTGACGGTGGCTCAGCTGAAAAGATGGCTAGAGTGTTTAAACTTGTCGACGAAGGGGTCAAAAGCTGATCTGTACTCCCGGATATGTGCGATTCCACCCGAAAGCCGAGGTAGTGCTCCAATGATGAACCAGGTGGAGGAGGAGCAAGAAATTCTGGACGAAGAGGCGGAAGGGGCAGCGGTGGAGAAGCGAGTGAAGCAGAATCGGACGGAACTGGCTCGTGGCATGGCAACTATGGAGGAGCTGCATCGGGAAATCGAGAAGGCAAGGAAGGTTCTCGAGAATCTTCAGCAGCAGATCGACAGCGTCAGTTCGAGAACAAGCGACGCGCGACCAAGCGGCGCCAGAAACGACATGTCTGAGCATAACGGCGAAGTGTGCGAAAGAGATGGCGAGCGTAGCAACGGTGCGGCAGATGATGTCCGTAGGAGCGAAAGAGATGGCGAGCGAAGCGAAGCGAATGAGGCAGAGAGGAATGAAAGAGACGCCAGCGAGAATTCTGGAAATTTCGGACGAAACGACAACGGGCAAAACGGCAGCAGCGACGCTAACAGTGGAAGAGGCGTTCGAGACGATTTTTCGTCAGCCGGATTTGGCTTGGCAAAGGAAATCCTATTGGATTTTTCGGAAAACATGTCTGTTCGTGCCTGGGTCTCCCAATGGGAGAATGTTGCCAGATTGTATAAGCTAACGGACACCCAGAGTAGAGTTTTGCTGATTGGAAAACTGAAAGGCAGCGCGTTGCAGTGGCTACACGCAGATGCAACCCGGTTCGGAGAATCGACGAGTGAGCTGGTAGACCAGTTACTTTTTGCGTTTGGTGGCAACGAGTCGAAAGCAGAGTTGAGACGCAAATTTGAGGCGCGGCTATGGAAGCCAACTGAGAAGTTTGCAGTCTATTTCGAAGAAAAACGCAGGCTGGCACGAGAAGTCAACATGGAAGATGACGAACTGCTGGACGGACTTATTGTTGGCATTCCGGCGATAAATCTACGCAATCAGGCCAAGCTTCAGTGTTTCGAGAACCCAGGAAGGATGCTTAAAGCATTTGCCAACATAATGTTGCCGGTAAGAGCTGCTGGAGAGAAGAAGATGCACAACGCGAAGGATGAGCTGGCGATCAAGGAGACGCGTTGCTATAACTGCAACGGTAAAGGGCACTGGGCTCGAGACTGCATCAAATCGAAGAGGACTCCTGGGTCTTGCTATGGATGTGGGGCGATGGATCACATGATCAGCAAGTGCCCCCAAAACAAGAAGGATGCGGCAAATAATTACGTAAGATTGTTTAAAATTTTTGTTTATGAAAACTCTAACCAGCCAATTATTACAGAATGCTTGATCGATTCAGGAAGCCCAGTATCTTTGATAAAATTTTCTTATGTACCCAAAAATATTAGATTAGAGCCTCATGAAGAGCTATATTATGGAATAAATAAAAGCATACTAAGAAGTTATGGAAAAATGTTATGTTATGTAATGAAAGAAGAAATAAAGATTTATTTTAATTTAATTGCTGTGGCTAACGATTCAATGAGCTGTAATATTGTGCTGGGTAGGGACTTTATGGAGGCTTGTAATCTGAAAATTAATTTAGAAACTTTAAAAATGATCACCGTTGAGAGAATTGAAACCCAAATTGATAATAAGACAAATATTAGTTTATTGAATGACACTAAGGAACCTAAGGAAGCGGATGAAGAATGTGAGCAAGAAAGTTTAGAAAATGAAATGTTAGAAGAAAGTTTAGAAAATGAAATGTTAGGAGAAAGTTTAGAAAGTGAAATTTTGAGAAAAGGTTTAGGAAATGAGATTTTAGAAGAAGAAAGGTTCGAAAGCAAAATTTTAGAAGAGACTTTAGGAAATAATAGGGACGATTTCACAAGAGAAATGATGAATATTAATATTTTAGAGGATGATGAAAAGGAAAGTTGCTTTATTATTGGTGAAAAAATTAGCTACAAGGATCGAGAGAAGTTTATTAAGTTGTTAGAGACACATTATGTTCAAGTCAAGCGACCTGAGAATCCGAAAATAAAATGTGAAATGAACATAGTGTTGGAAAACTCGAAACCATTTAGTTGCGCACCGAGGAGACTGTCATATAGTGAAAAAGAAGCACTGTTAAAAATGTTAGAAGAATACATTAGAGATGGAATTATTCAACCTAGTAAATCGGAGTATGCTTCTCCTATTGTATTAGTGAAGAAGAAGTCGGGGGAACTGAGACTTTGTATCGATTTTAGAAGATTGAACAAAATAATGTCAAAGGATAAGTATCCGATACCATTGATTGATGACCTTTTGGATAATTTAGTAGGAAAATCTGTGTTTACGAAATTAGACCTTAAGAATGGCTATTTTCATGTATTTGTTAACAAAGAGTCAGTAAAATTTACGTCTTTTACCACCCCATTGGGGCAATTTGAGTTTTTGCGGATGCCGATGGGCTTAAAAACAGCTCCGCAGGTATTTCAGAGATTCGTTAATGACATATTTTCGGACATGATAAGGCAAAAGAAGGTGATCATATATATGGACGATATTTTAGTGGCAAGCAAAAGTTTAGAAGAACATTTAGAAGTTTTAGTAGATGTATTTAGAAGGCTAGTAGAAAATAAATTAGAGTTGAGAATGGACAAATGCAAATTTTTACAAGACAAGGTTAAATATTTAGGTTTTCTGATTTCGAATGATGGGATTAAGGCTGACAGTAAAGGGTTAGAAGCGATACAAAATTTTCCGGTTCCAGGCAAGGTGCAAGCAGTTCAAAGTTTTTTAGGTCTTTGCTCGTATTTACGGCGATTCATTAAGGATTTTTCGATATTAGCGAAACCGTTGTATGATTTGTTGAGAAAAGATAGAGTTTTTAAGTTCGAAGCAGAAGAATTGGATTGTTTTTCGTTGTTAAAGGCGAAATTAATGGAAGCGCCAGTTTTAGCGATATACGACTACAGAGATGATGTTGAGCTTCACTGTGATGCAAGCGCTTTAGGATTTGGAGCTGTGCTTCTTCAGAAAAAAGAGGACAACAAATTGCATCCTATTTTCTATTTCTCAAAAAGATCGACTGCAACAGAAGCAAAGTATCATAGTTTCGAGTTAGAGACTTTAGCCATAATTTACGCGTTAAGAAGGTTTAGAATATATTTACTAGGCAAACGTTTTAAAATTGTAACAGACTGCAACTCTTTAACGTTAACGCTCAATAAGATTGAGTTAAACCCAAGAATAGCACGGTGGGCTCTAGAATTGCAAGAGTTCGACTATGAATTAAAGCATAGATCAGGCAAACAAATGCAGCATGTAGATGCATTAAGCAGATGCAACAACATAATGATAGTGGAGACAAATACATTCGAAACAAATTTAGTAATTTGTCAATCAAAAGATGCAAAGGTTCAAGAAATTAGGAAAATGTTAGAAAGCAGCGAGCATAAGATATACGAAATGAGAAATGGAGTAATTTATAGGAAAAGTAATGACAACCGATTATTATTTTATGTACCGAATCGAATGGAGGAACACGTGCTATACAAATACCATGACGAAATGGGTCATATTGGGAGGGATAAAATGTTAGATGTTATTGGGAAACGCTACTGGTTTCCAAACATGAAGGACAAAGTAGTAGAGCATATTCATAATTGTTTAAAGTGCATAGCTTATTCTCCGAAAGTGGGTAAAGGAGACGGACACTTACATAGCATACCCAAAGGCAATAAGCCTTTTGAGATCATTCATATAGACCATTATGGACCGGTAGATAGCAGCAGATTGAAAAAACATATATTTGTGGTGGTAGATGCTTTCACAAAGTTCGTTAGGTTGTACACAACAAAAACGACGAATACAAAAGAGGTGATAAATGCGTTAAAAGACTATTTTCGAGCGTACAGTAGACCGAAATGTATAATATCGGATCGAGGCAGTTGTTTTACATCGTCTGAGTTTACAGAGTTTATGGAAGATAGTAACGTTAAGCACATAAAAATTGCGACGGGCTCGCCTCAGGCAAATGGTCAAGTTGAACGAATAAATAGGAGTTTAGGACCCATGATAGCAAAACTGATAGAACCGGAAAAGGGTTTACATTGGGATAGAGTTATGGAAAAGGTTGAGTATTCGATGAATAATACGATGCATAATAGCATTAAGCTATGTCCTAGTGAAACATAATTTGGGATAACACAGAGAGGAGAAACATGTGACGAGCTAAAGGAAAGATTGGAAGATGAAGAAGAGAAAGGAAAGATTAGGAAAAACTTAGAAGATGAAGATGAGATTATTGAGGAAAACAGGAGAAATTTAGAAAAACTTAGAAGAAAATTAGAAGGGAAAGAAGAGATTAGAAATGAGTTAGAATTAGAAGAGAAAAGTATTGAGGAAAATAGAATAAATTTAGAACAAATTAGACAGAAAGCTGAAGTAACACAAAGACAGGCTCAAATGAAAAATGAAGATTACTACAATGTGAGAAAGAAGAAGGCAACAGAATATAAAGAAGGAGATTACGTTATGGTTAAGAATTTCGACTGTACTGTGGGTGCTGCAAGAAAGCTCATTCCGAAGACTAAGGGTCCTTATGTCATTGTAAAAGTTTTAAAAAATGATAGATATGTTCTTAAAGATATAGATGGGTTTCAGTTGTCTCGCAATCCATACCAAGGCGTGTGGAGTGCAAATAACATTAGACATTGGATAAAATCATAATATAATGATAAAATATGTAATTGTAATATTGTAAAGTAAAGAAAAACAAATTGTAATATTGTAATTGTAAATATGTTAAAATTGTAATTAAGTTATAGCATTAAGTCAGAGATAGAGGGCTATCTCAAAGTCAGGACGGCCGAGTTGTAGCAGGCCAGTTGATGTTATTATGATCTGGTCACACGATTGTTGGGCTACGCTCTCTGAGAGAGCAGGTTACTCTCTCTCTCAGAGAGCGCTGCTTATGAATTTCGGGGGTTGAAAGGCACGCGGCCTGAGAGTGAGAGATCACTGTTTTTGGAGAAGTTGAAAAGAGAAGACGTAGATCGTGAACAAAAAGCAAGAAAGAGAACTGTAAAATAATATAAGAAACATTTAATACGAAATTATAAGCATAAATAAAAGAAACTAATAAATAATAACATACGGCCACAATGCTTATAAGAGATAAAATACGGTACGGAGAATGAAAAACAACGTTTCAAGGCAGTAAGAGAGAGAGAGCAAATAGTTTAAAACGGCTGTTTGTTATCGGCGTTTTAACAAACAAAATAAAATACTACAAAAATATTAATACTTTTAGTATGAGCTTTGCGTTAGCTGTCAAAGGCTTCGGACGTGTTTTCGGCTATTAAAAAGAAAAAAGGGGAAAATACAAATTTTTCTTATGCTTTCGTGGAGTGCAGACGCGTTTTTGCATTGTAAAGAGTCTATGGACAAGTCCACCTTTGTGGCAAAAGCGACTGTGTTTTTTCTAAATCCGACTTCTAAGGACGTGGTGTCAGTGCCCCCACGTTCGGTCTCAATCGCCTATGTGAAGCCTTCCCAAAAGGTCCCGTAGTCGGTAAAGCAAGTTCACTATGTCTGCTGAATCGGATCTTGACATCGAAAAGATTGCGGCTGAGGCCCAGAAAAAAATGAGAGAGGCGTTAAATTCCTCGATAAACCAATTTAACGCCATTTATGCCTCGACCTCTAATAATGCTCGGCCAGTAGCAACTCAAGACTCTGAGCAAGATGCTATGGCTGATGACGACGATTGGTGGACCCCACGTCCCAATAATAAACGCCGTTTAAGATCAAGCCCTTACAACTCAAGCTCGAAAATTATTAGGAATTCAAATAGCCCAAAACCAGCAGCATCTGACAATCGGTTCTCGGATCTGTCAGATATGGACACGGACGATGAAATTATGAAATCACCACAAACAGTCGGTCAAAATAGATCCAACCAAGCCAGTATCAGCACCAGCAACACCAGCAACACCACCAACACCAGCAACACCACCATCGCCAGCAACCAAGTCAGCAACACTCTAACCAACAATTTAAGCAACAGCGGCAACACCTGTAACAGCAATAATAGCAATACGACTAGCTGCAATGGTAGTCCAAACCAGCCCTCAGACAACAACGAAACCCCACCGTCTCACAAACCACCACCAATTGTGGTCAAAAATTGTGAAAACTTAAACGGACTTATCAGATCCACAGATAAGGTCGTTCACCCAACCAAATATTCCATTAAATGCCACCCAGATAATTCCGTTTCGATCTTGGCTTCAGATTCAGATGCGTACAGAGCCATTACTAAATCGCTTACCTCAAAAAAGGTGCCATTTCATACCTGGCAACTTAAAGAGGAAAGGTCTTACCGCATTGTCATCCGAGGTGTGCATCACTCCATTCCGGATGAAGATATTAAGGAAAGCCTTACTTCACTTGGCCATACTATCCGCTTCATCAATAGACCCAGAAGCCGGTTCGATAAAACAAAGCTCGTCAACCTAGTCTTTGTTGAATAAATACATGAGCTTAAAACGCTTTGTCGTCAACGGATACAAGTTGGGCTTCCTTTCAAAAAGGACGTTGTCGTGCAATGCTATCGGTGCCAATCTTACAATCACACAAAAAATAACTGTCATAAGGAAGTTAACTGTGTAAGATGTGGTCAGCAACACTCCATTGAAGACTGCCAACGAGATGTACATCCAGTTAAATGCTACAACTGCGGCGGTAATCATACTGCAAGCTATAAGGGCTGTATCGTATACCAGCAGACAGTAAGTCGACGCAAAACTGCTACATCCCATCGTAGCCCCCATCAACAACAACAAGTTACGGCTCCAACTGCACGAAGAGGCATTGAGCCCTCGCTATCTTACGGGTACGTCGCCGGGGGATCTCGCCAAACACAACAGGCTAGCCCTCAGCAATTTACAAGCCAACAGCAGCTGCAACAATTCCCACCACTAGGAAGTAGGTACCGGAAGCAGAACCAACAAAGTCAACGTAGGGAAAACAACCGGCAACCCTAACAACCAATGCTGGACACAATCCCAAGGCCAGAGCAACATCCAGGAACCCAGCAACAGCAACAACCGCAACAGCAAAATCTATCCCAGCAACTGCGTAATATCCAGAATAATCAGCAATGGCAGCGGCAAGAAGAAATGTTCATGCGATCTGATGAAAAAATGTCAGTTCTCGTAACACAACTAGAAAAGATGTTCCAGATGATGATGTCAATGATGACTCTCGTCACTAGCCTTTTATCACAAAACGCGCCAGGATCTACTCAACCAAGTTCTGGACGTCTCCCAGTTTATCCAATCCAACCATGAGTCAAATTGGACTCAAAATTGGTGTGTGGAACGCCGACGGGCTGGCCAACAAAGCACTGGAGCTAGAGCTTTTTGTTCATAAACATCACATAGATATTATGTTGGTCAGCGAAACACACTTCTGCTCTCGTTCATACTACAAACTACACGGATATGACGTTCACCTATCTAACCATCCCGCCGATCGCCACCGTGGGGGCTCTGCAGTCATCATAAAGTCCTGTCTCAAACACTACCAATTTTTAACAATGGAACATCAAAGTGCTCAATGTGTCGCAGTCAAAGTCAATACGGATCAAGGTGAAATTGCTATTGCCTCTATTTATTGTCCTCCAAACTTCCAGCGCTCCTATGATGACATTAGAACACTGCTTGAGGAACTAGGACCCAAATTTCTAATTGCCGGTGATTGGAATGCACACCATCGACTTTGGGGTTGTCGAAATTCCTCTGTCAGTGGAAGAGTATTGGCAAACTATATCCTCAGCTCTCACATTCAAGTCCTTGCAACCGGAGGTCCTACCCACTACCCGTACAGCCAGCGTACGCCAACTGCAATTGATTTTGCCATATATGGGGGGATTCGCTCCTATCCATCTCAGGTAGCTTGGAACTTTGTTCTGATCACATCCCATTGTTAATTGAGCTAAGAAGTGCTGCTTTCAAGGTCTCCCAAAAAACACATATTCTCCCTCGAAACGCAAATATTCCACGGTTTCAGGCAGCAATTAACCAGCTAGTAAACCTCAACATGGTCCTGAGATCCCCTGAAGACATTGATGATGCCACTGAGGTCTTTGTGCGAAACATTCACATTGCTGCCGAATCTTCAACCAGTGGACAAGGCTCAATAAACCCATCAGATCCACCTCATGCTCTTTTAAAACCTGAGGTCCTGGATTTGGTGAGGTCGAAAAGAGCCTTGCGTCGCAGATTCATGCGGTCGCAAAATCCGGCCGACAAAAGAGCATATCGTCGCGCTGAGAACGATCTAAAGAAGTTGCTGCATAAGACGAAAAATGATTATTTCTCAGATCTACTACGCAATGCAGACCCCACAAAACCGTATGGATTTAACCTCTGGAAAGCAGCAAAGTCAGTTAAACGGCAGCCCCCACGCAGAATCACTATAAAGCGTGCTGACAACACTTGGTGCAGATCGGATGCAGATATTTCTCTGGCTTTTGCTGACGAACTAGAAGGTCGATTTCAGCCGGTTGATCTTGCTAGGAGTGAGGACGTGGAAGCAACACTGGCATTTCTTAATACTTCCTGCCCAGATGTAGAGCCCATTCGTCATGTAAGTCCGGAAGAAGTTTGTCTCCAAATTAAAAAACTGCACGTTAATAAAGCACCAGGATTTGACGGAATCGATAATAGAGTTGCCAAAGCTCTACCCAAAAAGGGCATATTATTCCTTGTGCTCCTGTTCAACTCCATGTTACGTATTTACCACTTCCCCACACAATGGAAGTGCGCAGTGATATCGATGTTACCTAAGCCAGGCAAACCGGAGAACCTTGTTACGTCTTACCGGCCAATAAGCTTGCTGCCAACATTCTCTAAAATATTCGAGAGAATATTTCTTAGCAGAATGATGGCAGTAAGAAGTGTTCAGGATGCCATTCCAGATCACCAGTTTGGCTTCCGGAATCACCATGGAACGCCAGAACAGGCTCATAGAGTAACGCAGCATATCTTAGATGCTTTTGAAAACGGTCAGTACAGCTCTGCTATCTTCCTTGACGTAAAGGAAGCCTTCGATAGAGTGTGGCACAATGGTTTGCTTTTTAAGCTAAAAACACTCCTACCAACTGCTCAATATCTCCTTCTGAAATCGTACCTGCTGGAGCGAAAATTCATGGTTGATGTGAGAGGTGAAAGATCATCCATTAGAAGCAGTCGAGCTGGAGTACCGCAAGGGAGTGTTTTGGGTCCTGTGTTATACACCCTTTACACCTCTGACTTGCCCAATCCCAGAGAACCGGGGACACTTCTTGCAACGTATGCTGATGACACAGCCTTTATCGCAAACTCAGCGTGTCGAATCGAGGCTTCTAGAAAAACGCAAAGCTTTTTGGATACATATAGCGAGTGGACGAAGAGGTGGAACATATCCATAAATGGAAATAAATCGCAACACTGCAATTTTTCCCTGAGACACAAAATCCTCCCTAGGGTCAAATTTCAGGACACGCTAATTCCTCAATCTCCTCAGGCCCAATACCTGGGATTGATCTTGGATAAGCGGCTCACGTGGAGGCAACACACCACCAAAATAGCAGCAGCATGCCGTGGAAAACTCAGAAAGCTAAACTGGATGCTAAAGTCCACCAGCAAGCTGAGCCTCAGCAACAAAGTGCTGCTATACAAAGCAATAGTTGTTCCTGCTATGACCTATTGCATCCAGATATGGGGTACTGCGTCCGACTCTAACGTTATGAAAGTGCAAAGGGTCCAAAACCGGGCGCTGCGCACAATCACAAATGCACCCTGGTTTGCTAGGAATGCAGACATCGCTAACGACCTCAAAATGTTACCAGTGAGGGAGCAGATCAACAGGCACTCAAGTCGGTACAATGAACGGCTTCTGGCCCACACCAACCACCTAGCGGCATCATTGGCCATCCCCATGTCCAGACGAAGACTGAAGAGACGACATCCAGGTGACCTTTGGTTAAGAGGGAGGCAAAGAACCCGAGTCCTACACCAATTACTGAAATGCCTTTGTAAATTATAAATTGTTGTTTACCGTTTACTGTTATGTTTCCATGTAATGTTTGTTGTTAGTGTTAGTCACTACGTTTTATAATCATTGATTTGGTTGATTAACGTATAATTAAATTTGAACTTATATAAAAAAAAAAAAAAAAAACTTTTAGTATTGTCAGAGCGGGGTGAAAAAAAAGTAATAAAACAGGCTGTTCTCGACTATTTGCCTCTCGCTCTGCCCTAAAGTCCCTTTACATTCTTTAAAAGGGTCTTCCTCCAGTGCAGGGACGGGCCAATGCGGTCAAGCGAGGGGATGAAGACTAAGGCGCAGTACAAGGCTGCCCTCCGCATCCAGAATCGGCTCCAGGAAAAAGCCGCCCAATCCCCAGAGGAGAAGGTATAGCTTACCTGGGCCGAGGAGAGGATCGCTGAGGGCAGGTTTCACTTCGCCAAACTCCCCCACATGAGTTCGACTCGCGGATTCGCCAACAAGGAGGAGGAGACGCTTGCCAACAAAAGGCAACGCTCAGCCGAGAGCGCCTGTAAGGACGCACTAGTGGACAGGGGGCTAATCCCATCCATTCCAAAGGCGAAGGCACTCTTCCCCATCGCAATCCAAGGGGACCGGGCGCTGAAGCTGCTGCAGCGTCAGAATCCGGATATACCAACCGCGGACTGGAAAGTTCAGCACGTTGCGAAATAAGAAGGATAATGACATCCTCTATCCAAGATGCGGGAAGATGGCGTGGGGCATGGGTAGCGTATACCTGGGCCTCAAAAAGTGCCATCCCGGGGATAAGGATGCTCACACCCTGAAGGCAGGCGTGGTGGAGAAGGACCCAGGTCTGGAAACCATCGTGGATGCCGCCCAGGGAATGACGCTGGATGAGTCCGACGAACGAGAGAACGGTGACCTAACCGTAGTAGTCAACCCGTCGTATGGAGGTGAGCCCAGTACCCATGACACTCAAGGATCCGCCGACATAGCTTTGGTCCAAGAGCCACGGATCGCCTCAGGCAATGCCATCGCCCGTCTGAAGTCCGCAAATTACAATTTGCTCCATCCACCAACGGTAAGAAGGAATAGAACCGCCGTACTACACGCTAATCTTATGTATCATTACTGCTCTGATGACCTGGCCGTGGTGATGCTAGAGAGCGGAAAAAAGCGCCTTTTGGTAGCTTCCTGCTACACCAGAAGAACTCATGAGCCTGGTAGAAGCCAGCCTGAAGGACCAGCAAACTGCTTGTGGGTGCAGACGCCAACGCGCACGACTGAGTATGGGGGAGCCCCGAGTCACTCTTAGACTTTATACTCTCAACAAACCTAAGTATAGCAAACGTGGGGAAGGAACAAACCTTTGTAAGTCCCACCTCCTCAAACGTGCTATATCTTACTCTTTTAGGGGGACAGGGTACTTTGGTATCAGAATGGAGAGTCCTTGAAAGACCATCCTTCTCAGATCATA